TCGCTTTAAGCTGCCTGGCTGCCAGCCGCCATCTTGGCTGTCAGTTAATTAACATATCTCCCTGATTAGCCAATGGGAAGGGTAGCGGTCGTACGCCAATTACCATGTTTCTCTTTTATTAGTGTAGATTACAGTATAAATGAATTTAATTGGATTAGCTAACACTACATTTTAAAACATGAAAAAGCTGAGGTCTGCCCCACAGTCGAGTCCTAGAAATTAAGGCTAGGATCAGTATGTCATTTAGAATTGCTTTTGGTTGCCAGTGACAGAAAATTGATCTGATTGTTTAAATAAATAGCTATTTTTCCTCAAATGACCAGCTATCAGGCAAAAGTAATCACTGGCCTTGGTTTTGCTGTTCAAAAACGTCATCAAGACATTTCTAGTCTCCTGTTCCACCATCCTTGGTATATTAACTTTTTATCCTCATTCTTGATGCCTGCTGGTTATGAGGTGGCTTTTGCACTAGGATCTCTAGCTGGAAAAAAGCAGCAGAGTCTCCATCTTTTCATCCAAAAGATGAAGCTCCAGATGGTCACCCCCACCTTGTTACTTTGCTCACACATGGATTGCATGCCATTATAGGCAGAATAATGGGTCCCCAAAGATATTCACACTCTAAGCCTTGCAACCTGTGACTGTGCAGATATAATTAAGTCTGCAAAAATTTTCTAGGGGCACAGTGCAACCACACAATTTTGTTGTTGTTTTTTTGTGTGTGTGTTTTCTTTATTGATTAAGGTATTACATATGTGTCCTATCCCCCCATTGCCCCCCCCCAACCCCCCACTCATGCCCTCACAACCACACAATTTTTTAAGAGCAGAACATTTACTCGGGCTGGAGCAAGAGAGCTCAAGCAGAGGGATTCCAGGTGTGAAGGATTCAGCACACCGTTATGCAAAGCCCATGTGCAAGGACTGGAGAAAGGCTTCTGTGAGCTAGGGCAGCCTCCAGCTGACAGCCAGCAGGGAGATGGGGACCTCTGTCTTGCAACCACAAAGAACTGGGTCCTGCCAGCAACCTGAATAAGCTTGGAAGCAGATCCCTCCCAGAGCATCTTGATAAGAGCCAGGCCAGCCGACACCTTGATGCTGTCCTTATGAAACTCAAAGCTGAGAAACCACGCCAGCCAACCCAAGCCAGTGACCAACAGACTGTGAAATAAATGTGTGCTAATTTGTTACAGCAGCAATAGAAAACTATGACACATGCTTACTCTAGACCAGTCACTCGCTAAAGAGAGTGGAATTGCTGTGACTGCTTAGGACAGTCATGATTAATTCCATAGGTCTGGCTGAGGCCGATCCCTGAGATCAAAATACTTTGATAGCCTACATTCTATCTGCAGAAAAATGAAATTAGGGTTCTATTAGCAAGAAAAATGGGAGAATAGTTATTGGGTAGATAATTAACAGACTGTTTCATAAGGGGGTTGAACACTGCCTGTGTCTGAAATATCATAATTTGATCTCAAAACCTAAGAGAAGGGTTCTTTCTAGAAGGATGAGCACTCCCATAACTAACAAAGCATTCGAAGCGAGAATTCCAATAGCTACTATATTTCTACTTCAAGATTCGTCCACCAGGAAAGATCTGAAATGTTCCCAACAACCCTTAAAACTGTTATATTTTTACTCTGGTTTCAAAGTGTGATACTTTGCACTGCAGTTTCAAATTCAATTCCTACACTCATGAGGTTTCTAATTTCCCTTCCCCTTCTCAACCCAGATCATGTTGCTTTTGGCTACCTTCTGTTTTTTTCCCCACTTGCCTCCAGCAGCAAGTGTACTAATTTTGCTTTTTTTCCTATTTATAGTTTAAAAATAAAACATTTTGATTTCTCAGTTTTTTCTCTCCACTTACTATTTTGCTACTTATTTTATCCTTCTTGGGTAAATGAAAACTAGTATTAGATTTCCTTTCCAAACTTTTGTCTTCTCTGCTGCTTCCCTGGATTGTTGAGCTTCTTGAAACTAGCAGGAATGCATTATGTAAAACCATCTGATGTTCACTGTAACATTTCAAGATTCAATGTATTATTCATGCTTTGGTGATAAAAATTCAGTTAAAAATTTGCAGTTTTACTAGCCATATGGTAAAAGTAGTCCCATGCAGTAATTAGAGGCAAAGTAACCGAATGTGTATATGAAAAAGAAAAGGGGCCAGCCTTATAATTTGTAATACAAAATATTAAAAACTCTGCTTGAAGATTGTGTTTTGGTCAGTTCCAAAACAAGATTTAGCTGTAAATCATTAACCCCACCCCCCCAAAATGGTTTATTCATTCTTGAGGCTGAAGATCTGCTTACTTCACAATAATTTTTTTCTGCAACATACTTTCAAGTAGAAGTGAATAAAGAGATAGACAGCTCAGGACACAGGTAAATCTTTGGGGTGGCCAGAGGGGTGGGATTTGTGGATTTTTAAAGATTATGATGAAATAGAACAATTAAAAAAATGTTTTCTTTAACTCTACAAGAAAAAAAATCTATTAAAAATTTATAAACAATTCATTAAGCCCTGGCCAGTGTGGCTCAGTTGATTGGATCGTCATCTGGTACACCGAAAGTTCATGGGTTCAATTTCTGGTCAGGGCACACACCCAGCTTTGCTCCTGTGTTGGGGTGCGTGCAGTAAGCAACCAATCAATGTTTCTCACATGGATGTCTCTCTCTCTCTCTCTCTCTCTCTCTCTCTCTCTCTCTCTGTCTCTCTCTCTCCCTTCCCCCACCCCCACCCCTTCTCTCTGAAAATTGATGAAAGCATATGAGGATTAAAAAAAAAAGTCTGCCCTAACCTGTTTGGCTCAGTGGATAGAGCGTCGGCCTGCGAACTGCAGGGTCCCCGGTTCAATTCCAGTCAAGGGCATGTACCTTGGTTTCGGGCACATCCCCGGTGGGGGGTGTGCAGAAGGCAGCTGATTGATGTTTCTCTCTCATCGATGTTTCTAACTCTCTATCCCTCTCCCTTCCTCTCTGTAAAAAAATCAATGAAATATATTTTTAAAAAAATTCTAACTACTTTGATGGCTTCATACTGTCTTTAATCTCTTAAAGATCCCAAAATGCAAAGAAACAGTGTGGTGATGGCAGGCAGGAGACAGATGGGAGGAGGTGGAAGAGGGAATAGAGGGAGTAAATGGTGATGGGAAAAATTAAATTAAAAAAACCCCACAAAGATATTTGCCCAAAGTGGCAACCTGCTAACTATTCAGGATGCCAATTCTTATTTCATATCTTCATGATCTTTTCTAATTTGGGGAGTTAGATCTGATTAGATGGTCTTAGCTTTTACTTACATTATGGCTAACTAAGACCTCATTCTAGGAGCATCAATTTTGCCATTTTCTATTGGTCATTTGTACTTGAATTATTATCTTTATTCATCTTCACTGTAGGAAATTTAGAATTTTCTAACCTACTCATCCTTTTTGCAAAAATAGTTTTTGATTATATAAGCATTTACCAGACACAAAAATCATGGCTCACTTGAAGCAAAGGAGGGAGGATGCCAGAGGCAGTTCCCCTGCCTACGCACTCCCACTCCACTCTTCTTTTAGAATCCTCTCCAAGTCTGTGGCATGTGACAATCAGACATGCAGACTTAACGAGCCTCGAGTACACTAAATGTGAGTGGAGATTAATTCCAACATATTTTTTCCTGGATGCCCAAGCTGTGCATGCTGCACATAAGAACACCAGCCAGAATGGCACCTGATTTTTAAAAAATCACTTCGGAGCAGATATTCCTATCTTTTGTCAGATTGGCAAAAAATATATGTTTTGGTGCGCTGCAGAATTTTAATAATTAGTTTATGTGTGCCATGAGATGCAAAGGTTGAAAATCGCTGGCTTAGGACACTAAGCAGTTAAAAGGAAGTTATACACCTAGAATTTACTCTTCAACATCTCTAGGAAACCTGTTGACATTCTCAGGATGAGGAATTAATAATTAATTAGCATCGATTATGAAACTCTTCATGAAATTTAACACACCATAATGGAAATAGATAGCTCTGAAAAATCATTTGAAACAAGAAACTTGGTGAAGTTGAATTATTGAGGTGGTGATGAAGGTAGACCATGATCTCAAGTTAAAAACTATTTTCCATGTCTATCAAAATAATTGGTTGGATTTCTGAGTCTCTGACAGATTCCTTATGTCATCCCTTCATTACAAATTCCTCCTCAGTTTTAAATGCTCTTTCAGTTCAGTGAGTACGAATGTTACTGTGACGGTGGCTTTGTGTACATTGATTCTGATCTAACCCAAGGAGACTGGGGAGCGGGGAGGCAATTAGACAAGCCTTGCCTGAGAATTCAGAAAACAAAAAGTGTTAGGGATAAGCTGATAAGAAATGGGGGGGTCTAGGACCTAAAGAAATACAGTAGCTCACAGGCACATTCCTTTCAATGTAGCAGGCACCTTGGACCAGCAGGTGGCAGCAGTGGAAGCAAGAACTTCCAGCAAAAGACATCCTGGGCAAGTACCAATACTAGGACATTAGAATCCTGCCTCAAGAGCTCTGAATCACCAGAGGCAGCCAGCTGATGTGGAAGCCCTTGCAGTGGTTCTCAACCTTCCTAATGCCGCGACCCTTTAATACAGTTCCTCATGTTGTGGTGACCCCCAACCATAAAATTATTTTCGTTGCTACCTCATAACTGTAATTTTGCTACTGTTATGAATCGTAATGTAAATATCTGATATGCAGGATGTATTTTCATTGTTCGTGACCCACAGGTTGAGAACTGCTGCTAGAGGGTACCACCTCACTGAAGTCATTCCAGGCTTCTCCCAATCAGAGTCCAAACAGGAGTCTAAAACCAAAATCAAGGGTGAGGAGTGCCGAGCAGAGGTTACCAAGCCTTGGTAACAAAGGATCACTCGGAAGTCAGTCCAGTTTACACCAAGAAAAATTAACTAGAAATTACAGGATCCAAAGCACTGCAATAGGACACAGAGTGTTGAACAGGCTTTAAAGGAGCCACAAGTCACTGAGCAAATAAATTGAGTGGGAACAAAAAATGTTGACACAGTGGCCAAAGATCTAAGCTGGGTCCCTGGTTCTGCCAACTAATAAAGTAGTTGTGGGGAGGCCCCCTAAGGGGACTGGGGTCTAGGCTAGGATGTGTTTTGACAATGGGAGCCATCATGTATTGGGGGCAGTCCTTGGGCCACACTGAAGGTGTTTAGGAGAGCAGCTAAAATGGAAGGGTGTCGGTCACCAACACCCTTTTCATTAGCTGTTAACATGAACACAGTGATGAAGACTGAAACCAGGGTGTCAATTAGTTAGATAAAAGTAGGCCAATGATTGGTTTCCCCAATATATTAAAGAGATGGTTGGAGGGGAGGAATCAGACCTCATCCCCACAAGGAGAGGTATTACAGGAAGAAGTTCGCTGCTAGGACAGTGCTTGCATTCTTGGCTGTGCCATTTTAAAAAGTAAGGCTTGGTCTCAAGATCTAAGACTCCATCAGACGCACAGCACAGGCTCGGACAGCGCCTGCTCGGTCCAACACAGTCCTCATCCTCTCAGGACCCAGCTCGTACTCTCCTGGTCAGATCAGGTTTGGAACAAGTGTTTGGCAGAGATTGTCCCAAGTTAAGGGATGGCAGGCAGGCAACATCAGAGTTCCCCACAGCCAGGTACCCTGATTTTTTTTTTCTGACACAAATGGCACAGTCTGATATGAAGGAATTCCTAAAGGATTTGGGTTTCAGGCTTTGATCACCATGCTCTAAGCCTGTGGGCCATAGAAACCATGGTGAGAACACTCCTTGCTCCCAAAACTCTGAGCGGGAGACTGAGAATATGGAATGTTGGTCTCCACACTCAAAGGCCAGACCATGGAAGAGGCAGCATTACGGAAAGCCCAGTGCTAATGTATATCAGGTTAGCATCAGGCTATGCCACGCCAAATAAGCTCTAGCACGTGTGATGGACAGAAGTGCCTGCAGGTGATCGAGGCTACAGCCAATCAATAGTCCTATCACTGAACAGTTAGTCAAGATTGATAAAACACTCAGCCCTACTGGGGCATGAAAAGTGCAACCCCTATCCCTCTAAATAAGGTGGTTTCCATACCAAGCACTGGTCAGGAAGTCAGAGCTGCAGGCCATGTGTAGGTGCTGGGGGCGAAAACATAAAGCAGCACTACCAGGCCTTTAATATGGAACTGAGGCATCCCACCCTCGGTGTACCGGGGGATACAGCTGGGAAGTTCTCATACTGCCATAATCGACAGTAAATAGCTGGGGGTGGCACCTCTCTGTTGTGATGCACTTCACTTTCCACTGGAAAAAGACTTCTAGCCTGGAATTAAAAAATGGTTTACTGCTTCTCTCTCACACCACCACTGTTTTCCTCCATGCAGATTTGTCGGGACCTCACAAGCATCGCACCTACTGTCCGGCTCACGGAACCAGGCAGCCCTCCCTCGGGCGGATCTCTCAGCAGAGGGGCCTGGCTCCACCAGCAGGCTCCGGCCTTTCCCTGCCCGGGAGCCTGGGCCACTCAATATTCCGGACGACAGAGATCGATTCCAGGGCCCACAGAGGAAACCCACCAGCTGAGGAGGAGATGAGCATGTGGGGGGGGGGGGGGGGGGGAAGGATATAGCTGGGAAGTTCTCATACTGCCACAATCAACAGTAAATAGCTGCGGGTGGCACCTCTCTGCTGTGACTGGAAAAAGACTTCTAGCCTGGAATTAAAAAATGGTTTACTGCTTCTCTCTCACACCACCACTGTTTTCCTCCATGCAGATTTGTCGGGGCTTGTCCATCAATGCTGTTGTGGGGGCCTTACACAGCTGGTTGCTTACCCCTTAAGTCGAATGGTCTTCATCTTGATTTTCATGTGATCAATAGAAGAGATCATGACTACTCTCACACCACCACTGTTTTCCTCCATGCAGATTTGTTGGGGCTTGTCCATCGATGCTGTTGCGGGGGCCTTACACAACCGGTTGCTTACCCCTTAAGTCGATTTTCATGTGATCAATAGAAGAGATCATGACTGGGTTCTAGGCTCTAGAAAACTAGTAAAAGGTAAGTCCACACCAAATAACTAAACAGGACTCCTGTAACTCCTCCACACATGTCAAACTATCAGTGAGGTGGGCCACACAGTATGACATATTCCACATACTAGGTCTTCAAGAGCGGGCCCTCCTCAAGGCCTCAGAGCAACATTCTCCTCCAGCAGCTCCTGGTCTAGGTGCCACAGAGCCACAGCAGTACCAGCGTGCAGTCAGGGCCTAGGAGGTGCAGGAAGGTTGTTAGTTCACTCATGTTCCCATTTGCAAGTCAGGTTGTCAAAAACAACTCTCCAGCCCGGCTGGTGTGGCTCAGGGTAGAGCGTACACCAAGGGTGGGATGGCTCATTTCCATATTAAAGGCCTGGTAGTGCTGCTTTATGTTGTCACAGTTTGATTCCCAGTCAGGGCACATGCTCAGGTTGCAGGCTCATCCCTGGTAGGGGGAGTGCAGGCGGCAGCCAATCAATGATTATCTCTCATCAATGATGTTTCTATCTCTCTTTCCCTCTGCCTTCCTCTCTGAATTCAATAAAAACATATGGAGAAGAAAGAAAGAAAGAAAAAAACACAATAACTCTCCAACCCAACTCCTTAGTGGACAGAAAGGCCTGAAAGAGACCTATGCACTCAGGTAAGGACAGAATATATTCAGTCTATCTGATGGCAGCCAAGACCAGAAATCACCAGAAAGAGTCATGACCTCTTCAGTCTGTGTGAACCCAAAGGGAAGGTGCAAAACTACACATAAAACCAACCCACCACTGTTGCCAGAAAACAGTACACCCAGGAAGCAGAACAAGTCAGGTTGTCAAAAACAACTCTCCAGCCCGGCCGGTGTGGCTCAGGGTAGAGCATCCACCTATGGACCAGGAGGTCACAGTTCGATTCCCAGTCAGGGCACATGCCCAGGTTGCAGGCTCGATCCCTCGTAGGGGGAGTTCAGGAGGCAGCCAATCAATGATTCTCTCTCATCAATGATGTTTCTATCTCTCTTTCCCTCTGCCTTCCTCTCTGAATTCAATAAAAACATATTGAGGAAAAAAAACACACACAATAACTCTCCAACCCAACTCCTTCGTGGACAGAAAGGCCTGAAAGAGACATATGCACTCAGGTAAGGACAGAATATATTCAGTGTATCTGATGGCAGCCAAGACCAGAAGCGATTCATAACAGTAGCAACATGACAGTTATGAAGTAGCAACGAAAATAATTTTATGGTTGGGTCACAACATGAGGAACTGTATTTAAAGGGCCAGAAGGTTGAGAACCACTGTCATAGACTAACCCTGAGCCTGAGAGGCAGAAAGGAGGTCTGTGGGGGCTTTAAATTCTTTCTGGGGGGCAGCTGGCGCGGGTTTGATCCTACAGATGAGAAGTCAAGGGACTCCAGATGAGCTCAAAAGATTCCCACTGTTGGAAAAAAAACAAACAAAAAACCTCAGGAACAGACCCTCCACCAGGAGGTAAAAGGCCTCAGTCACCAGAGTTTAAGGGCAGGAGAAGAACTCACAGAAGCAAAGCATGGTCTCACTTCTCAGGGAAGGCAAGTTCCCACGACGGGCTCAGAAGCAGTGGGCAGAAAGCACTTCCGAAGAGCTCATAGACTAACCCGGAGACTGAGAGGCAGAAAGGAGGCCTGTGGGGGCTTTACATTCTTTCTGGGGGGCAGCTGGCTCAGGTTTGATCCTACAGATGAGAAGTCAAGGGACTCCAGGTGTGCTCACAAGGTTCCCACTGTTGGAAAAAAAAAACCCTCGGGAACAGACCCGTGGGGCCTGATGTATACCACTCCCACAGTGGCCAGTTAGGTCCCACCTCCTAGTCTCTTTCAACTGGTCAACTTTTACATTGTTAATTCAGCTTTTCCTAATTAGGCCATAAACTCTTTGAAGCCCATACTTTTTAAAATATATATATTTTTTATTGATTTTTTTACTGAGAGGAAGGAAGAGGGATAGAGAGTTAGAAACCCTAATTAGGCCATAAACTCTTTGAAGCCCATACTTTTGTATGTGTACTATAGCAACCAGGATCAAGTACTGCACATAAATCGTGCCAATACGTATATATTTGTTGATTTATTCTGTTCCCTGGTTAAAGGCATGGCCCTACAGAGAAGACACTACACGGGATAGAGGCAAGGGGTGTTTCCTTCTTGTCACCTCTCTGCACCTCAATCGCTTCTCTGTAAAATAAGGCAGTGGGACCAAAATGTTGATTCTTAAATTGTGTTTCTTTGAGCCTTGGGGTTTCTTAGAGATTCCTCAAATAGTCCCGATGCACTGTGGGAGTAGGGAGAGGAGAGGGACACTGGTCCATGACCGCTTTGTTGAGAGCGATGTTTCTCTCTCTCTCTCTTTCATCTCTTCCTTCCTCCCTTCCTCCCTCCCTATTCCTCTCTCTCTAAAATAAATAAAAACCTATTTTAAAAAATAAATAAATTACCTGATTCAATTATTCCAAAACTCCCTTTCATTCTCACATGACATGATTTTGAAATTCCATTTTTACTGCTTTTCCCACATAATATATATATATTTTTTTAACTTTTTTTACTTTTCAATTACAGTTGACATTCAATATTTGCTTCAGGCATAAAACAGTGGTTAGACGTTGATTTTGTAATTCCATTGACATTTACGTGGGACAAGTAGTAGTCCCTCCTAGTTTAAAAACTGGGTGACCCTTGCCCTCACCAGCCTCTGGTGGCATCTCACACTTTGGCAAAGAGGAAATAAGGATAGCTATGTTGTTTGTGTCTAACTGCATACCTCTTTGGAACTTCTCAGCTCAGTCATGTCAAATGTGTCGTCTTCTCCCTTTCCTCCAGTTTTCTATGAACCTGCTTGTTGGGAGAGCCACCTGGGACACCCCTCCTCCCCTCAGCTTGGATACATCCCTGGGTTGTTTTTGGCTTTCCCCCCCATAGCACTCTCACTTCATACTTCTTACCATTCCTTCTTCACCTGGTATAATGTTTGGCTCCCCACCGCACCCCTCCCCCGGGCCTATTATACCTGAGGTTTCTTTCCCAAGAACCTGTGCATGATGTCTTTAGACCAATGACCTAAGCCAGTGGTAGGCAAACTCATTAGTCAACAGAGCCAAATATCAACAGTACAACGATTGAAATTTCTTTTGAGAGCCAAATTTTTTAAACTTAAACCATATAGGTAGGTACATTGTTATGAACTTAATTAGGGTCCTCCTAAGGCTTAGGAAGAGCCACAGTCAAGGGGCCAAAGAGCCACATGTGGCTCGCGAGCTGCAGTTTGCCGACCACGGACCTAAGCAATGGAGAAGGAGAAGTGATGGAGAAGAAGAAAGGGAAAAGAAAAGATAAAAGGAGAGAGGGAGAGCAAGAGGATGAAAGAGGAGGGAGGTGTGTCTGGTCTTGGCGTATGGTGATATCCACTGCTCTTCCCCTTCTCTAAAATACATCACAGTTGCCACCATGCATGGGGCTGCTTTTGACTAACAATCTAGTAAAAAAACAAACAAACAAACAAAAAACAATAAAACGTGCACTCTATTCCTTCTCACCAAATAGCAGTCAATTACTATGACTATGAGGCACAGTGTTCTATAGTAGCTCAAATGTGGGCCCTGCAGCCCAACTGCCTGGAATCGTGAGAGCTTTGTGACCGTCATTTCTAGCTTGGTGACCTTGGCCTCTCCCTCTCAGGTCTCTCATCTTTAAAGTGGAGATGATAACAGAATCCACCGTCAGGGCTGTTAGGAGGAAGAAATGAGATAATGCAAGTAAAGTGTTCGGCATCAGGCCTGGCACAGAGTAAGGCTCTGTAAATGTTGGCTGCTATTCTTTAAAATGTTTTGCCTTAAGAGCTTTGCCCCATCACTAGCTGCTACATCATGTTCCTTTGTAAATGAATTGGCCCAGTCCCTTGTGGTCCTACCAAGCCGACCACAGACGGATACATGTGCATGGCAAGCACTCTCTCTGTGGAGTGGTTAGTAAGTACTCATGCTGTTGTGCTAGTAAAGCACTAGGTTCACTTAGGCAAAGATGGGGAATAACCACAACGTAGTCTATTCACAATAGGCCTGTTTAGAAGGTTCAGACGAAAGCAACATACAAATTTTATTATTTTATTGCGAGCGTATAATAAAATATGAAACAAATGAGCTACTGTTGACGTTCTTTAGAACTTGGCTTATTCCTGTGTGGTTCTTAATCAGCTGTGTTTATCAGAATCACCTGGGAGAATTTCAAAACCCCTGAGGATTCTGAGTCACTAGTCCTAGGTGATGTTCTGGCATGTTTATTTGGAAAATGGTTACCCAAGTGATTCTTATGCAAAACTACTGTTCCAGGTATTCTTCCTATTCCCTGAAAATCAGGTTCAATTAGAATGTAAAGACCATGCAAAATTTTGATGGCACTCTTCATATAACTAGCAAATGAAAAAAGGGGGATTTTGAAAGAGGACCAGAAATTTCTTAGCATATTCTTTTTTTTTTTTAACCTCACCTGAGGATATTTTTTCCATTGATTTCTAGAGAGAGTGGAAGGGAGGAGGAGAGAGAGAAAACAAACAAAACATTGACGTGAGAGAGACACATAGATTGGCTACTTCCCACATTCCTACCAGGGCTGGGGAACCTGCAATCAAGGTACATGCCCTTAACCAGGCATCGGACCCTTCAGTCCACGGGCCGACATGCTAACCACTGAGCCAAACCGACAGGGCATCTTTCCATATTCTTCACTTGCAGAAGAAAAAGTCTTTAGTTCATGCTCATAACATAATCACAACATTATAAATTAAATTCCACTAGGATTGAGCTACCAGCAACTAGTGGGTTTTTCTGCCATTTTAATGAGAAACAAAAACAAAAAGAATATTTGTGGATAATTTCGCGACTCACGCTCTTCCCCTGAAGCTGACTCTACGTTGGGATGTTGAAAGCATGATGGCGTTGCTGTGGGAATTTTTCTTTTCCTCTTGAATGCTTTTCCCCTACTTTCTTATTTTAGGGTACTTGTCTGCGTCAATAGATGAGGCATCCCAGTCACTCAGCCCTTAAATCTAGAGACGAGACCAGAACAGGAAAAATATAATTGAATCCTGTTCTATTTAACTTTTTAGTTTCATAAAAGTGTAGATGTTATAAATAAAAGGACACTATTTCACCTTCTTGTGGCTTCTGAGCCTCAAAAGTTCTCCCAGGTGTTATCAGCTGCCCCTCTACCTTTAATATTTGTTGATAATTCTGCCATCCATCACAGCTCCTTCTACACTCACTCTAAGGCAGCGGTTCTCAACCTGGGGGTCGAACGACCCTTTCACAGGGGTCGCCTAAGACCATCGGAAAACACATATATAATTACATATTGTTTTTGTGATTAATCACTATGCTTTAATTATGTTCAATTTGTAACAATGAAAATACATCCTGCATATCAGATATTTACATTACGATTCATAACAGTAGCAAAATTGCAGTTATGAAGTAGCAACGAAAATAATTTTATGGTTGGGGGTCACCACAACATGAGGAACTGTATTAAAGGGTCTCGGCATTAGGAAAGTTGAGAACCACTGCTCTAAGGAAAAACTGGCTGATGTGATCTAGCAAATAAAAAGGGCCTTTGAAAGAGGACTTTGTCCTCTCACACATTCAAACACAATTTCTCATCTCCTTTATGCCCAAGTCCAAAGAAATCGAAGTTAGAGACTTGTGAGAGCCCCCAGGTCCTTTCCGTTGAATTAATGTGTAAAGTGCTTACGACAGTGCCTGATACACAGTGAGAGCAATGCGGAGGTATGTTATTTTTTATCATTTTTTTATGATCTTCAGTTGTTCTTATTATTATCCTTGAGCCACAATTAATTTTTAGGACCTAAATATGTGGAATCTCCCCTAGAAATGTGTCTTGTTGTAGTGAAGGAAGTTAATGGATTGTGAATATAGAAATAATGTTTTTGAGTTTCCAAGATGCTTCATAGAAGACGTGCCCTTTCTACAGTAACAAAAGAAAGAATAGGTACTTTAAGCTTGGCTGTTATGCAGACTTTCGGGAGCTGAAAAGTCAAACTTTCAAAGGCACATCACTGCAGGCTGTTCTTATAATGTAACGATGTAATACACTTAAACACGTGGTGCATGAAATGTAAAGCAACAGACTTTGACATGACCTGCATACCTGTACTGGGTGAGTGACAGGGCACTCTACTGACAAGTCACTGTGCCAAGAGGAGACATACCTGTCGGTGGAATATTTTCATTGTGTGTGGGAGGCTTCTGGGCATACTAAAGAAAAATATATCCCAGACACTCTCTCTAGTGGGATCCCATCAGAAATCTGTGCATCTCTCTAGTGCATCACTTACTCTCTTGCATTAAATTTACTTGTTCCTGTGACCTTTTCTGCTAATAGACTGTGAGCTTTTTGAGGTCAGGCTCCACATTATTTTCCTTTATAACACCACAGCCCCCTCAGTAAGCGCTGAATAAAGACAATGTTACAATGATCTTAATCTTTTTTTAGTTTTCATATTAAATTAGTAGGAGAAATGTCTCCATATATGTTCTCAGCAGTCTTTGATACTGCCAGTTAACATATTTTCGGGGTGGGGGGGGGTGGAGGAAGAGGAACCTGACATATCATCTGAAATACAATTTGACAATGAGAGTAAATATTTGAAATGTGGATAGTCTCAGAAAATTCTGGACAGATGAATGCTTACCCATGTTACTCATTCAACATCCTTTCCTCCCCTCCATCTATCCACCCATCCATCTACTTACCTATCCACTCATAAATCTATTCATCTTACTTATTAAAAATACACTACCAACTCACCCTTCCAAAATAGGGGTGGGGGGACGTGTTTGCTTTTGATTTATTAAGATAAATGCATAGCCTCTGGGATTACTTTTTTTTCCTAGTGATAACTATCCCTTTTTCTAGGCATGGAGACTTCTATCCCCAGTAGATTAGAAAAAAAAGAAAAGACTTCTTTGCTTTGCTGGCCACAGCCCTCTCACTGCATCCTCCAAGTCAAGGCCAGAAGTGATGGGGAGACGAATGTCGTTGAGTGTGGCCTGAACTCCCGGACGTTGACTTCTTCAAGCCTGGCCACCAGAGCCAGGAGTTCTAGTTCTCCACAGTCTCCGATGCTGCCAGTCAGCAATGGCAGGACATTCCACCTAAAACCATGTCGAGGGTGGTTTCAACCTCAGGATCACCCACAATTTAAACACTGAATACACCTGAGCTTCCCATATCCAATTACTGAGGTCAAAAAAGTTGGGTGGGTTGAGGGAACTTGACATGGAGCCATGTCTAACCTGGCACCATTCACAAAGCAAGTAGCATTCCCATTTAGTTTATGTATTTGAAGTCATATCTGGTGACTTCATTTTCAATAGATGCACTTTTTAATTTATTGTCCATGGCAGATATGTCTTGTTATAGGTATCTTGAATTGTCCTCAAACATATCAAAACAGGTAACTTGTCCTTCCAAAGTCTCACCAAAGCACTTCACGTCAATCTAAGTAACATAAGTTTCCAGGAAGAAATTATATAGCCTCTTAGTTTGGTTCACAGCCTGATTTTTATAGATTCATAGAAGCCTAAATTTTCTCTCATCTGCTAAACTTGACTGTTTTTCAAAACAGCCTTCAAAAATGTAAAATTTGCTCCTTAAAAATGTGTCTTCTGGTATAGTAGCTGCCACCCATTAAATGTCAGTGCCCCCACCCTTGAGACTGCTCATCAGGAAAGGCCATTGCAGGATGGGCCCATTAAAATTTCCAAGTAGGAGAATCATACACAGTGTCAGTCACAAAATATTTGAACTCTTACCTTGTTGTCTGACACCATTTTCTTGCTCTGGGATTGTAGCAGAATCACACTTGTTTTGGAGATTACTATGATACCTCAGGCTTAGCTGACAGGAATGGGACCCTGAGCACCAGAACTCACAGATGATTTTGGCCTGCATTGTCATGGGGGAATGATCTTCAAAACCAGGCACAGAGAAATCAGACTGGGTGATTGACATGGGAGGAGGAGGAGGCTTAATACAGATTTACTTCTATGTTGGAAACACACCTAGAGAAAAAGCCCACAATGTTTGTGACTATATGTTTGCACCTCCACCTAGAGATGAGTTCCTCAAGATTAAGGACAGTGTTTCGCCTATCTTTGTATCCCCAGTATCTAGCATAGTGCAGTATCTATACTAGTTGCTCAATAAATGATTATTAAATGAATTGCATTTTGGACCAGTCTAAGTTACTGCAAAGCCCTCTCTAGTTCACATTTTAGATCACTACCACAGCTGCATGTCTGAGTCTTAGTTTGCTTGGTTTGGTTTGGTTTGGTTCTCTAGCATGATGATTAACTCTTGTGTAATCCAGTCATAATTGTATCAACATAGATATTAATAGGCATATTGGATCAACCACTACTTGTTTTGTACACAGAACTCCATAAGCCACAAAATTCATTCTGTTGGAAACAGGGTGGCCTTGTATATTAATTTTTAAGCTTTACACAACAATTAAGCAAAATGAGACAAGGCCTAGTACTCTTTAGGCCTAGTTTCATTATAAAGCCAATTCGTATAGTAGGACTTTACATGTCCTACTACCAATTCTTCAAGCCACAACACCTAAGACCAGATTAAAAATAAATAAGTGGGCCATGACTTCTACCCCACCCACAGAATGACCTAGGCAGAAAATTCCTACGTGCTCATTGCTCAATTTAACCTTGCTAAAGAAAGAAACCTCTGGGTGGGGAAGTTTTTATTCAAATAAATTCCTAAGGATGAGGTTCAGTGAGAGATGTCTTGAGCAAGGCAGCATACCCATGTGTCTGGAAAAGACCCAAACCCTGTGTCACTTGTAATGGGCAATGAGGAATCCAGGTAGATGAGAGAGTACAGCATCTCCTAGGTCTGTCCTTCCTCCGCAGCTCCTCTGCTGTAATTGGGGCAGGATTTAGAGGGACAACTTCCTCTTCCGTGGATTGTCTGCTCAGTACTTCTAAATGCTACATCAGGGGCTCTCCGGTTCTTAACTACCCCACCTGTTAATCTCATGGTCTTCTGTTAAATAGACTTCTTATCCAGAAATATGCAGCTGGATTCATGACCAACACTTATTGAGCATTATAGGCCGGCACTATGCCAAGAATTTTACAAATCATTATTCATTTAATCCTGCCAGCAACCCTAAAGGTAAATGTTCCTATTATCATCTTTACTTTAGAGATACAACTGAAAGAGGGCAAGCCCAGATCTCTTAACTTCCCTGTTGGTGCTTTAACATTATGTAACATTGCTCTCGCAAATGTCACCAAACACTTTATTTCCCTCATTCAAACAACTAATTGCTTCCAAACTATTAGTTTCAAACTGGGTCCCTGCCAGTTTGGAAGCCTGTAAGCGACTTCCTGGATTAATCCAAAAATACACTAGTCTCCCACAAGTCAATTACCTGAAATTCTGGAATCCTTTCTATGTGTCATCCTACTAGATTGACTATTAGCTGTATTGTTTCCGTGTTTATTAACTGATGAGAAATGCTTATTTGTTTGCTGGCATTGAAGGTGCATATCAGAGTAGCTTTCTTGGACAGTACCTAGTACTCTAAAAGATAAAAGATGTTTGATCACGGAAGGGCACTTCAGGTTAGTACAGCATGCGGTCACACATCTGTGTGTACACATAAGATCGGCAGATGTAACTATAGCCACGATGAAGCACAAAATAGATGCCTGGTGACTGGAGAGGGCCAATGAGTTTTCTTTAAGGAGACCCCTGAGAACCTTACACTAGGTAGTTTATTTTTAGACATCTTAAAACAGCGCAAGTGTCAAGTCAGCTTTCCTAACAAACTCTGAATATGTTTATTAGAAAATAGAAGGTGGTTGAGAGAAATGAAAGAAAAGTTGGTGATAGCCAGAAGAGAGGGACTAAAGATAGACAAGAATAGTCTATTGGTATAGACTAGCAGTCAAGAATAAAGACAATTATCTATTCTACTGAAATTAATAAAGAAGAGGACAGAAAGTCTGTGGAGGATATATTGAACTAATTCCTTGGGTGGCAATACTTGATGGTCTCTCTTCTCTGGTGCAGTGGTGAAAGCCAGATGTACCTTGTTAAGAGCATGGTGGGTGGGAGAGGTGGAAAAGAAGGGTAAAAATGAAGATAGTTGCTGTGGATTGGGGGAAGCAATAGTGACACTGGCTTGTAGAGGATACATTATGGCTTCAGTCGACACACACAGATTTGTAATGAATGATGGCTAAGATTCTCTTCCACAATGCTCTGCGGACCCTGATGTGTAGAAATCTGTGGATTTGTGGCTGGAGGGAAATTAGTAGAGTGGGAAGGGACAAAACTGAGCAAAATCCTAGAGTTATTAGAAAGATCAATTGGGAAATAACTATGGTCTGAGAAAGCAAGAAGTGTTGAAAACCTGTATACATTCATTCACTCATTTCGCAATCTTTTATTGATAATCTATTGCTTAATGGTTGTCTGTTAAGTTATGTCATACAAGGATGCATGAGACTCTGCTCTGGAATTAAACATTAAACCATGGCAAGGTTGTTACTAATTGCTATGGAACACATGTGTACAAATATGCTTTGGAAAAGTAGGTTTTAAGTCTTGCCAAGTCTGTCTCACACTTGGGCAATAAGAGAAACAGAGAGAAGAGCTTAAGTTATTCAGACAGTAGGTAGATCCAAACAATCAAATGATATACAATAGAGAATAACTATTGACATAAATAGTGGCCAGAGGTGGTAAGTGGGTGAGGGTTTGGGAGTGGTACATGATTCTAGAAGAGGTATTTGGGATGCAGGAGATCTGGGAGTCCAGATCTGGCCATTGGAGAAATGCTATTCCTTGAGGTTAGAGAAAGGTTGTAATTTGGTGTAGGGATTAAACTCCCCCATCAGCCTCCATTCATTATATGGATTGCAGCTACCTATCTAGAGCAGTTAACTGAGGCAGTCAGGTAAAAGGATTACAAATCATTGGTTCAGCAACAAACTGGAAGGGACCCAAGTCGCAGTTTGGTTGGCCTAGGACCAATATTGATATTTTATTGATGTGTTTGAAAGGATAAATCATGACCATCCAGATTAATTTGGTGAATAACACAAAGACCTAAAATACCTGGCTTGTGTCCTTGGTGATTATTTATCGTTTAGGTGTTTATTGTCTATCTTCTTCCAACTAGATTCTAAGTTCCATAAGGGTAATGACCTTGTCTGTCTTGTTCCTTGTTGTTTTCCCAACACCTAGAACAGTACCTGCACACAGCAGTTGCTCAGTAAATTGTTTTATATTGATTATAATAAGTAGATTGTAATAAGTGCTGACAGCCATGTGCACTCGTGCTATGGCAGCAGAGCATTAACTCAGTTTGGGGTTGGGGAGGCCTTCAGAAAGAAGGTGGCATTTTAGTTTGGAGAGTGGGTAGGACTTTGTGAGGTAGAAGAGAAAGAGAAGAGTATTCCAGAAAGGGTCTAACACCATAAATAAAGGCATTGTATTATGAAGAGCATGACATGTTTGGCAGATGGTAAAAAGCTTATTTTTTGAGCATCGATACTTTAAAACAGGGGTGGGGAATATCCAGCCCACCGGCTATATAAGGCCTGAGAAATCATTTTCTCTGGTCTGCCAAGACCTTAGGGGTGAATTAAATATTTGACCAAACATAGCAGGCTGATTTTTAAGTTGATAATTTTGTATGGCCATGAATGATGTTATAAATATCCAAATGGCCCTTAGCAGAAAAAAGGTTCCCCACCCCTGTGGACAGTATTCGTCCACACAAGCATATCTGACTTTATGTAATAGTTGTGAAACAAGGACCACAGGGAAGTACAAAATGTTAAATTGCTTTTAAAAGACTATGAAGTGAAATTCTTTTGTCATATGGATAAAACAGCCCAGAGAGAATCCCTCCTGAAAAGCTTTTTCCTCCAAAGAGGACCGATATATTGCCTTAGCCTAGCTTTTTCCAAGAGAAAGGAAGTATGAAGAAACTGGTCAGTTGAAAGAAAAGGTCATAGTGGCCAATGCTTTTAACAAGGATAAAAAATTAGATCAAGGATTTAAGGTTGTTTAATGTGAGGAGGGAACACGGTAAATTTTCACCATTTAAGGATGGGTTATCACTAACTCAATCTTTCATAAAAACAGAATCGTGGAGGTGGCACCTGCAGGGACTTTTATTTCGTGAACATGTGCTATGTAACAGGTGCTTTGCAGAGATTGCCTCAATCCTTACAACCTCCCAGAAAGACAGATGGAGAGGAAACAGGTGCAGAGTAGCGAGGTAGCCTACGGGGTGGTAAATGACCCTGAAATCAAGGCTGACCTCTGAGCTCATCCTCTTTCCCTGACCCTATGCTGCCCTAACATAAGAAGGTCTTTTAGTAGATATAGAGAAAACGTTCTTCATCAATATAAAATACAATAAAAAAATACAATAGCAGAGAAAGGCACAAGAGACCGTGTGTGTGTGTGTGTGTGTGTGTGTGTGTTTGTGTGTGTGTGTGTTAGTAAATGAGTTTTGGCCCAGGCCTACCGCACTGTAAAAACAATGTTTCCAAAATAGCCCACGCCACGCTGTCTATAATTCATGCATTATAATTAACCCCGGGGTCAAGGTATTGTTTCTGAAGCCCTAGTTGAAATGCAGATATGTGACCCGGGAAGACTGACACGATCTCTCAATTACACCTAATTAAAGTGCTGGCTCTTTGAGAACTTGACCCGACCGGTCCAGGACTCCAGCAAGGCGGGGGCTCCTGGGCACCCTGCGGGGGAGGTCCCGGGCACAGGGAAGCAGGTGGCGGGTGGGCATCTGGGTTGGGGGCATCACTCGGGGAGTCTGCAGAGGTTGGGACTAAGCGGAAAAACAAACTTTGACTTCCCTACAAGTCTCTGGGGAGGGAGCGAGGAATCCACCTTGCCCTCTCATTTCAGGACTCTTCTGGAATCCCATTGACACGTCTGAGGTTCACCATCTCCAGTTCCCCTGGCCTCGCCTCCGGGGTCGACCCAGAAGCAAATAAACTGGGCCTCGACAACCAACCCCCGACCTCCCCCATCCCCTTCCCTGCTCACGGCAGCCCGGGCCGCAGATTTAACCCTCCCCCTCCCCCGGACTCGGGCGCG